GGACCATGTGTCCTTTATAAGGTGCTCCAATAAACGAACAGGCGTGATATTATTTGAACGGGCACTTCACGGTCTCAGATAATCTCATAACTACAAGCCCCGCAACCGAAGGCGCGAGTTGAAAATTTATTAAATTTACTTGAATTTATAAGGACATCCTGGTGGGACTAAAATATCACGGGATTTTGCTTCACGGCAGCCAACGTTGCAACTCCACTGAAGTAACTTTAATCGAAAACGTATTCTAGAATTTCGGTTTACATTTTATCGAGTAGGTCACTCGCCGTATATGCAGAAGGGGAGTACCCAAAGAAGAAACTAGTCATTTATAATTGGTCAGGATTTAAACACTAAAAGTCTGCAGAGTAGTCCCATGTTCTTTTGAAAACTGAAAATAAAGTGCGAATGTACTAGTACAACAGTCGTCTGCTTATTACCCACTTAACACACAACACGTTCCATAAGTCTGTTTCGAATGCGTTTTCAGAGGAAACCTTACATTTGGACAGCCACATTATCTCTGCATACCCACTCGAAATTTTACTAGAGAATGTGCTAAATTTAAGTCTCTTTGATATTCCCAAAGTGAGAACTGTAATCAAATGTACAGTCCTCGGTAAACAGACTTTTCGGGTTTCAAAGGACGCGATGTCGTGACGGCTGTCTACGGGTCAGGTGTGAGATGCGATAGGCACGCGATAATTATGCAGTGTGAAATCTTCACGTATGCAAAGCTGAAGCATTATTACACATTAAACGAGCCACTTAGACAATTAGAGGCAGTACGTCTATGGCACTGCTGAGTTTCCTTTTGGACCCTATAGAGAGCAGGGTGGCATTTGATCTAAACCGGAAAAGGTTTTAACAATCAGATTATCGCGCAGGGTAGGATGACGAAATAGGGAATGTACATCAACAGAAAACACTGCTGCAAGTGACAGAGTCGGAGCGTCGACAACCCGAACCCGCGCCAGCTGTCATACCTCCTGACTAGCAAGGCAAGACTACGGAGCGACGTTTTTACACTGTTGGCGGTCGGTGCCGTGACAACTCGGGGTGGAACACCCAGCACGAATTTTAGGGGTCGACGGTTCTTGCATCCTACCGTTTCGGAATCCACAAATTTCCACGCGGTGTCTTGGGAAGTGCAGCGGTGTTTGAATACCTCAGATCCAGTACGGGCAATCATCTTGACAAGCAGTGATTTGTGGTCTGCATCGATCGATTCCGCAAAGGCAAATCGACCGATGATTATGTTTGCATAAAAACAACTGCATTTAACATTTAAAGCTGTTCCGATGGATTGTATTTCCCGTTGGGGGATTGTCCATGCTAAATACTTTGAATTAAACAACGACAGAAAAACAATCACTGATTCACATGTTGTCCGAAGGAAGAAATGTCTCGCGGGCTTCACGACAAAAAGTCGTGACAGAGGCTCACAGAAAATTAACAGTCAGATGTGGTTATATGTAGCCCCACCTAAAGTAAACAGACCCACCCATCTGTAATAAAGGACCGGTGGTAGTAGGGGTTTTTACAGGTGGAGCCGGCGAACGCACACGAGACAAGCTCAAGTAGTTGTATACAAAAGAAAAGCTGTTGGGAATGCGCAGTTGTACTTCGAGTGGTTGAGCACAAGTTGTCCTAGCCCTACCTCTAATCCTTGACCCTAACCATAACGCCAACTCCAACAGTATTGTGTCCACCAGGTGGGGCTACATAGTCGCATCTTACCAAGTTAATAATCCTATGGTTAGGGAGGCAGACTTAGGGAAGTCGGACTTAAAAGATATTTATATACCTTTTCTCGTATGAGTTCCAGCCCAATTGGCATCTACGACCCATTGCAAAGAACAGCTATCTACCCCGAGCACAGGAAGCATCCGCGCGTAGTCGGCTCCAATAATCTGGCCAGGCTGTATACCCAGCGGGTAACCCATACTTTGTGAGACTTACAACCGGAGCGTTTTCATTTTTAAGGAACTTGTATGAATTTTGCACTTTTCACCAACGATCACATCATAGTCGTACGCAGTTTTCACATCAGCGATCGATCTCAGGCTTTTAGGCCCCATTAGGATCCACCTAGTAACTGGAATAACGTTGGGGAAGTTATTTCTAACCAACCCTATAAGCAGTCCGAAGTTGATTTTCGGTAGCACCAAAAGAACGAGAAGCGTGCAGCAATTGAAAAGTCGCCGTTTCCGGAGTCGTTTGTTCATCATCTTCGAATGAAATGGGTTATGCAAATAACCACAAAAAGTCAACTTTGCCACGAAACGCTGTTCCCGTTAGGACTTTAGAGACCTTATCTGCTCTCGCTTTCGGCTGCGAGAGGGAAGTGGGTTCGATGTGGGTAGATGAGCCTTCTCTAGTATTTTAAATCCCAATATGATAAGTGCCTAGTGTATATTAGTGGAGTAAGCGCGGGTTTAGAAAAATTATCACGCTGGCGATCAGTGAGACAGTTCGATGTCAGGGGTCAGTGAGCATCTCTATGGGAGGAAGTACTTTAATTCAGTGACTTGTTGCGGAGTGTGGGACTTCATCGGGAATGCTGGTTCAAACAGAAAATGCAACCAATTATAAATCCACTTTCATGTAATCAAGTTACCGAAAACGTTTACAACAAAGTCAGTGGTAGGAGAGTCAACAGACTAGCCCACAAATGGAACTAAAGTTGGGACTCAGTGCATGTAAACATCATGAACTGTGTGTAATTATTTACCATACTGATAACACAGGTACTTACTAAAAGCCCAGACACGCGTGTTTCGCCGATCTTGTGCCGCTGCCTGAGGCAGCTGCGAGGGGTTCGGATCTTCAGTGGGTCCCCCAGCCTCCTCCGTGTGTTTACTGGCATATGAACTCCAGTCTCCCCTTGCCTTGTTTAATTTCCTGGGGAATTAAACAAGACATCATGAACTGTATTTATTCCGAAGGGGTGGAGCATATATCGACAAAAAAGGATGCAGATGAATTTTTCCGACCAAAAGGTACCACACCCTCATGCGTTTTCAGTCGACATGCTGGGACTCTAACTTCGTGTGGCAGCTAAAGCAGTCTGGGAAGAGGAGTTTTTTTGCTGATAATTGCGGCTCCGCTGGTGTCATGCCCGTCTTCAGGACGGGGGATAAGACGGAGTGCGAGAACTGCCACTGCATAAATGAAGTCGACAGTGCAGTGACGGTCTTATCATTACCATTCCTAGGCTGTTTCAATATGAGCGTGATTCAGAGGTTGGGCTCAACAAACCTAGGTTCCTGACTGCTCGCGGATTTGCCGACCAAATACTCGATCCACAGTGCATCATGGAGTTCCGCTGTGGATACCAGTAGCCGGGAACTGTTTGGTATGTCAGCCTCGGTTCAGAATCCGACTTCAGCATTGGTAGTGCTGCTGGCTGAAAATGGAACTAGAACCTGTGCAGGCAAAATTGTAGGCATAATGCAGTTCTACTATCGCTCCACCAGTGAATGACCTTCTCTTATAACCTCATCATAAAACAATGCGGCATTCGGAAATGATTGAGACAGTGATGCTGGGCTATCGGATCAACGGAATTGCCCATAACCGTAGTAAAAACCAGATCACGAACGTGCTTTTATAAAGTGCTGCAGAAAGCCGACGACTTCGCAAGTCATAAGGTAAACAGTAATCTTATTTCGCCACTCGGCCTGCGAGGATGACTTGTTTACTTGTCAGAGCCAAGCAAAGGTGAAGGTGCAGATGAAGCGGGATTCCCGGTAAAAGGGGGAGGAGGGTAGGGTTTTAGGTGCGCAGAAATTTGTAAGTCCAGGTTGCGGACCGGAAAATCGGTCTGAACAAAAAACTCAGTAGTGTCTTCGACAATAACATGCGCCGTAGATACTGATGTGTTTTGTGTGATAAAACAGTCTACAACGGTCTGACAAGACAGATAGGCACTCATCTGCTCTGCAAGCTCTAGAAAATCTTCCTGTGATTTTTTTTTACCTCAACTGGCCAATACTTCCATATTGTTACGCATTTATGCCAAATTTTAGACATAATCGTTGTCATTTGTTGTAAGGAAACGAACTAATCCTTGCCAGTTTAATATTAATCTCCAATGGACACCCAAGAAGATTCCTGCATAGATGAAATTTACATAGTTCTGACGATAGTACTAGAAAAGAGGTCCGGAAATAGAAGTGCAAAATGAGTAAGCGCGGGCGTGAAAGAAACGTAAAAAAGCAGGTCGCAATGACAGACGCCGTGTCGGTCAGACTAGCTTTAGAACAAGAGAATATTTTTTAACAACAGATAATTGATCGCTCTCCTTAATCCGCTGCAGCCCTTGATTCGACAAAAATAAGTGTTCCCGGAATTTCCTGAGGTTCGATGGTCTGCCTCCTGGTTTCCTGGAGTTGACATAACTGCCATGACTAACACGCGCAAACGAGTTATCGGAATGCGATGAACGTATCTGTTGTGGATTCGACATGAAAACAAAAACACTGTAGGAGGACTTCGCGCTGCAGTTAAGGCCCACTCTATCCCATATGAATACCGATAGGTTCGAGACGGTCAGTTGTTTTGTTTATCCAGATTACCCAATGCTGTCAACAGGCCTATATGAAGAGGAAATCACACACTGCGCACAACGGTCGTCTTAAGAATTACATATTTTCTCGGCGAAGGGTTTTGGGGAGGACAAAGGTTCGAACGCCGTGTATTGCTGGAGCAGTTTGTAGTCTTCAGTCCTGTACTCGACTAATCAGTTTTCATTTCTGTCAAGGATCGATACCGTTCGTAACCAAAAGAATGCTTGGCAGACGCCTAAACAACAGTGCCTGGGGGCATGGATGAGAGTAGAATTTACCAGGGAGTTCGAAGACTCCTGACTATCATAGCTCTTTTGTGCTAGATTTTTTCCTTATATTAAGGTCCGAACTAAGCCCTGTGGGATCCGGTAGAAGTCAGGTGAACGTAGCATTCACAGCAACAACTGGGAGTATTTAGATTCACGACGGCAGTACAGCGAAGGTCATGAAGATGGTTCCGCAGCTCCTTCCAAATCTGGATCGGCTTTCCGGAAGGAGCCCGTGTGCCATGTGGCCGGTGAAACGGTTGGGGAGGATGCGGGCAGTGTTGGGCAACGCGATTTTTCTGTGTTTATCACAGAGTCGACGGTAGTCTTTGCGTTCCTACATTTCAAGGATGTTCACGTCGTTGGAGTCCTGACGGTCTTCCTGTTTACGCCAAATTTCCTGAAAGGCTAAGATCTCTGTATCCATCAGGCGGGGACCGCCGTGCTTATCGATTTCGACCGAAATTGAATCGGGTCCTCGAACTTTGCCGTGGGGCATCTGATGTGCAGGCTTGACGGTCTCTTATAGCGAGAACTGTGAAATTGTATTCCACCTACAGGAGCCCGTCGATAGCACCATAGGAGACTGTAGATGACCGACTGGTGACGCATTTGAAGTGGCCGATCCAGTTCTTTAGAATTTCCATTTCTTCCTTAAGGGGTGTTATTTAGTCGGAGCACAGACTGGGGAGGTTCCTTTAGCCGGGAACTGTGGTCGGTCTCGATTTAGGCAAAAGCTGCTTTGTTTCATCTAGATAAGCATACCCTTGGATTTCCTCGGCTCTGTTGGCCATCCAGTTCTCATGAATCTCCCGCGGCTGTAGCTGCGCAAGGTGCATTGTTTGCGTCGGTCCGGTGATCGGTGTAGGCTTGAGGTAAATGGTAATGTTCTCACGAACTAAAGAGTTATATCTCACGAGCCGTTAGTCTTAAAGGCAGCAGGTAAAACCGACCAGTGAATAATACAGAAATTCTGAACGTTAAATAACCTGACAACAGAATGTGACAGCTAGGCAGGCCATCAAAGCGGGTTTTACAGGTGTGTTGTTTTTCGTCACATTCAAACAAGCAGTCCGGGCAAGGAAAACGGGGCTAAACTGTCAAAGGTTTATTAGTCCGGTGCTCACCACAGTACCCCCACCCCCTTCTTGACCGGAGGGCGACGTAATACGGCGCCAGAGGATATGCATAAGTCTAGAAAAAACGCATAAGTAAACGATCGGAGAAGTGAACGCGACGGCCACTGCGAGTGATTTGTGCAGAAGGTGCAGACGAAGAGGATTGGCCGGGTGCTATGATGGAGGATGATATTGCAGTTGGATGGTGTAGACATGTATGGAGAGGAAGTATGCAGGACGGAGGAGTAGAGGGCAAGGGGGAGGGAGTGGGCAAGGTAGATGAGCAGGGGATAGTGAAGATGGAGGAACAGGGGTTAGGGGGTCAGCAAATTTTTGTCCTTGTGACAAGTCCGGCGGTTCTCTGCAACAGCAGCCTTGACCTGATCGACACTGACCAAGTTCTCCTTGTCAACGCGAAGAATCCGGCAGGTCTTGGCGTTGCATGCGAGCACGCAGAACTTCCCTTCGTATGGTGATTCCAGCGGCTGGCGCACACGGTCACACCGGACGAACACATGAGTGCAGTTGTCCAAGTCTTTTTCGACATAAAACTCAGTCATTGGAGTTCGAGGTGGGACCGGGGAAAGCGAGCCCAAAAACTGCCGCAGACGGTGCACAAAATTGTTAAGAGTCTCATCGGTCCCACGAAAGGTTGGGGTGACCATCTCGCCAGGCAGTCGGAGGGTAGTGCCGAAAACCAATTCAGCTGCGCTACAGTCTAGATCCGACTTCAGAGCTGCACGGATGTCGAGGAGTGCAAGTGGAAGGTTGTCTGACCAGCTTCCTGGGTCTTCTACGGCGCGGAGGGCGGTCTTTGCTGGCGATGGAAACGCTCAATCATCCCGTTGGCAGCTGGGTGGTAGGTTGTCGTCCGAATGCGTGTGCAGCCAAGAAAATTGAGTAGCGTTTGGAAGAGTGCAGACTCAAACTGGGCGCCAGGATCAGTCGTACCCGTGGATGGGACACCGAACATGGCGACCCAACGACCGACGAAGGCCTTCACGATGGTTTCAGCCTGCACGTTCGGCAAAGGAATAACTTCAGCCCAGCAGTTATATCGATCGACACAGGTAAGGAGGTGGATAAAACCATTGGATGGAGGCAATGGGTTTACGACATCCAGGTGCACTTGGCTGAACCGTGCGTCAGGGCTGGGGAAAGTGCCTGGTGGGAACTTGTGACGTTGCACCTTGCTGCGCTGGAAATTCAGGCACGATCAGGCATAAGCCTTGACGTCCTTTTCCCTGCCAGGCCAGACAAACCTTTCCCCGAGGAGCCTTTGAGAGGCTCGGATCCCAGGGTGGGAGAGTCCATGCAAGTTTTGAAATACAGCTCGCGCATCGAGGCGGACACGGACGATGAAAAGAAGTCGAGACACCACAAAGTATGGTGCCAGCGCCGGTAGTCAGAGGAATGTCTTTGAGTTGGAGACCACTAAAGGACTCGTCGCCAGGACAACCGACTCGCTGTTGCTCAGCCGGCATGGCGCAAAGGTCGATCCCATGTGAGAGTTGGTGGGAAGACAGTAAGGGCCTGGACAGCATATCAGCCACCTCATTCTTCGTGCCATCAATGTGGCGGATGTCGGTGGTGAATTAGGAGATGCAGTTCAAGTGGGCGATTTCCCTCGGATTGTACTTGTCGGAGTGGGACCGAAGTGCAAAAGTCAACGGTTTGTGGTATGTGAAAACAGTGAAGTCCCGACTTTCAAGTAAATGCCGGAACTGCTCCACAGCCAGGTAAATGGCAAGTAATTAACGACCAAAGGTACATACTGTAGCGTGTCTCAGCTGGTAAGAGCTTTTTGGAGAAAAAGGCAAGTGGTTGAGTCGAACCAGCAAGGTATTGTTGAAAGACTGTACCTATGGCTACGGTCAAAGCATCTATCACCAGGGATAGCTGAGCTTCGGGAGCGGAATGCGTGAGTAAGGTGGCGTCGGCAAGGAAATTCTTGATTCTCTCAAAAGCAGTCAGTGCTTCACCAGTCAGCTCGAGGGGGCCATTGGAATCAGAAAGCATGTTGATGAGCGGCCGCATGAGGTCAGCACAGTTCGGTAGGAACCGGCGGTAAAAAATGACCATGCCTAAGAATCGCTGCAACCGACGCCTGCAAGTTGATGGAGGGAAATCACGAATTGCTTCAAACTTGGAGGGGAGGCAAACCTTCCGAGTCGACATGATCGAGGAACTCGAGCGAAGGCACACCCAACACGCACTTGGAGGGGTTGATGACAACGCCAAACTTGTCAAGGCAGTCAAACACCAAGGCAAGTTGCTCTTTTTGTTCCTTCTCATTCCGGCTGGCCATTAAGAGGTCATCAATGTAGGCGTACACAAAGGGTAGGCCACGTAAGACATGGTCGATTAACCTCCGGAACGTTTGGGTGGCATAGCGAAGACTGGATGGCATGGGGATGAGTTCGAAGAGACCGAAGGGTGCGGTGACGGCAGTTTTAGAGATGTCCTCAGGGCGACCGGAATCTAGTGAAAAGCACACACCAGATCAATCTTCGAGAAAACCGCTTTGCCGAAAAGGGCTCCAGAAAAGTCCTGAAGATGAATCACGGGATGCCAATCAGGAATGGTGGATCTGTTGAGGGCACGCAAGTCGCCACAGGGTCTCTGCTCACCTGATGTCGCCTTGGGCACCATGTGCAGTGGGGACGCCCAAAGGCTCTCGGACCGTCGAATTATTCCCACTTGCAGCATGTGTTTAAACTCCGCCTTCGCGTCCTGGAAACGCTCCGGTGTTTGTCGTCTCGGCCGAGCAAACACGGGAGGACCTGAGGTGCGGATATAGTGCACAACGTCATTTTGGACCTAACTACTGAGAAACTGGGAGTTTATTATGTTGGGGTGTCTAAGAAGCAGTTCTCGAAAGCGGCTAGCAACATCTGTATCCGCGACAGATAAGTTGGTGGGGGCAGCAAAGGGAGTTAGTCCACGAACAGACAGACCGGTTGTGCGGTCGAGAAGACGGGAACGTCGGCAGTCAACAAGGACGTCGAACTCGTCAAGAAAGTCCGAGCCGAGGATTGCCCGAGGTACATGAGTAATCACAAAGATCCAGGTGAACGACCCACGGAGGCCAATGTTCAGGATGAGGGACAGACTGCCAAAAGTGAGAATGGGGGAACAGTTGACAGCTTGGAAGTGAAGACCAGGTCAGCTGGAGTTGGGAGAACAACACTGATTTGGGCTCCAGTGTCCACCAGGAAACGTCTGCGAGTCGCAGTGTCGCAAACAAAGAAGGTGAGACCAGAGCTGGAAGAGCCAGAGAAAACGGTCGCGTCTATTCTCTGATTAAATGGTTTCCCTGTTTCGGCCTAAAAGGGCAGGGCGAGGAACAGCGACGGGCCTTTACGCAGAAATTAGTGCGATATCAACAAGTATCGGCAATCCGAGGTCGCAAATGAGAACGACGACGGCTGCGTGAGCGACTGGAAGTAAGGCCATCTCATCCGCCATGGCCGACACTTGCCTCATTAACTGCTCATTCACTGTCGATGGGGATGTGTAGATCTGGGCAACGGAAGGCGACTGGAATTGCTGCACCTCCATCATTCTATCAGCCATCTCAGCCGTGAGATCTTGAGAACCGGACGCCAGAATCGTTTGAACGTCTGCAGACAGACGCTCTGGAAACATCTCCTTGACGAATTTATCGTCAACCTGCATGTCTCCAAGGAGAGAACGCATTCGACGTAGAAGTTCTGAGGGCTTCCGGTCACCCAGTGACTCCTGCTTAATTAACGGGCGATACCGCTGTCGGTCGGACAAAAAATTAAGTCGACGAATTCCTGCCTTTACCGTGGAACAGGGAGCATCTGCAGGAGGATTAGATAGCAAGGACTGAACTTGAGAGATAACACCAGCGGGGTGAACCTCCACAAGTTTGTGGTGTTTCGCCATCTCCTTGGTAACGTCAACAGAGTAAAAGGTTTATTCGGTGCGGATTAAATAAAGTTCTCGAGCGTGTTGCCTGGAATGGGGCAAGGTAAAATTGATGCCATGAGGGGACTGGGCGGGGGCATTAAGTCGTTGGTTGGAGTGAGGCATAATAATCAAGACAAAGATGGTAAAATACCAAGAAAATTTGTGAGAAAAGCAGACGTAAATGGAAGGTAAATTCACAAACAAATAGTACTTTAAATGTCATTAAATGTGACATAGAAAGGTATAAAGTCTGCGTTAACGTCGGGAGCCTCCAATGACGTAAATGGCAATGATCTCACGAACTAACGAGTTATAGCTCACGAACCCTTACTCTTAAAGACAGCAAGTAAAACTGAGTTAATAATACACTGATTCTGAACGTTAAGTAACCTGACAACAGAGCGCGACAGCAACGCAGGCCAGCAAGGCGGGTTGTCCAGGTGTGTTGTCTTTCGTCACATTCAAACAAGTAATCGGGGCAAAGAAAAGGGGACTAACTTGTCAAAGGTAAATTAGTCCGCTACCTCACCACAGACTTTGTGCAGTCAGCTGGTTTCGGCGAGTAAATTCCGGGCGTGTACTTCTTTGTCGTCAAGCCGGTTCTTGTGTTGTCTATGTGCGCGTCCGAGGACATCCAGTGGGGAGGACTGGATGACGTTTTGCAGTTGGCATAGCCATGGTCTCACGTTGCATTACTGACAGGAGCCTGCGGGTCTTCCAGTCGATGGGTAATTTAATTGCTTAAATCGAAGGGGTTAGCGATCACATTCAAGAGAACAGCATTTAACGTACCTGATGGTCACCTACATTGTGGCCTCCTGAGAGGTTGCAGTTGAGTCTACATCTTGGAGTCTCGGGAGCGGTGATCCATCCAGTCGTCGACATTGCGCATCATCTTTGTCATTAGCAAGTCGTGGCACTCTCGCTTTTGGATGAGAAAGTAGCTTAGAAGCTTTCGACCACCGCGAACTAGGGTGCATCCAGGTTTCTTTCTCCCACTTTAAAAAGTGAAAGAAGGTGCTGGTGAGGAGTAGAAGGAGAAGGAGGAGGTTGGGTTTCGCGCAATCCTGTAGGAGGAGAAGGTTGTTGTCGTTGTGGTCGCCGATTCCATAGGGACACAAGAATCTCTCCCAGGCAGCGTGGTCAGTCCCGACGCAAACATCGCAGTCACCATGGACAGTCGGCTTGTCAGCCTTTGGCTTAATCAAGAGGAGGACGTGCAGATCCCCGTAGAACTTGTTCCTCACCTCATTGGGGTTCGCCATTGTGGGAGCGTAGGCAATGTAATCGGTGGCGAAAATGGCTCCCCGAAGACGCAGGCGTATGGTCAAAAGGCGGTTGCTGATGTCCTACCGCAGACAGAGTAGTCGTCCCACGACATCGTTCTGGATGGCAAAGGCGACGCCGGCATCACGCCGCTCTGCCTTTGAGCCGCTTCTCCAGAAGAAGGTGTAGATGGCACCCACTTCCCCCCGTCGGCCTAGTTCATAGTAGTGGGTTTCGCTGGGACCAGCAATGCCCACCTTGTAGCGCTCCTGTTTTCGAGTGGCTATCGCTGTACCTCTATCCTGCCTGTTGCTCCTCGGATTATCTAAAAGGGTGCGAAAGCTCCAGACCACCAGAGGGGACGGACTCACCCCTATCAGCCTGTGAGGCGGGGCAAATGGAGACGAGGGTTGTTGGCTACTTCATTGTTTCCACCGTGAGTGTTACATCTGTGAGCTACGGTCTGTGGGCATATGACGTGACCTCGTCACTGCTTAGGGCATATTTTCTAACCCCTTCTCCGCAAGGGGCTAAACAATCCTATATCTAAATAGCGCTGTTTGGACATCCCAGACGGCTAACGAACTCCCTAATGGGTCACGACTTTGTATAGTGGGAAACCGATCCGTGTTAGCCTGGGCCGCCCATGGGATTGCATATAGTCGACTGCGTAGGACTTTTTGAAGTTGGGACTGAGGGGAGATGGAAAGGAAAGCAGAATTATCGGGTGTGGGGACATAACACTGGGTGCCCTCATTTGGCTTAGACCACCGGTGGAGTTATTTACCGGGGTGTGGTCGCCGTGCCGAGCCTAGCTTCGAGGTGTCAAGCGAGAGTTAGGTGCCAGTTAACGGACGATAGGCATAGTCACCATCCGCACGAGGCAAACGATGCGACCTACTACGAACCTCACGTGGAGTCTATAACTGAACATACCTCCACGGCTGTAGAGACCCACACACAACGTTACCACAGCAATGAACACAGTGTGCATCCAAAGCGATTACGAGCACGTTCAGCTGAGATCTACAAGTATAGCTGCCACCAACCGGTGGACGGAAGGTAGCGTTAGGGAAACTTAGAGGGAAGAAGCGAATAGAGAGAAGGAGAGAGATTGGGAGGACGGAGAATGGGAGAAGATCGTCGATGGAAGAGAAAAAGCGCCTACCAGGACGCAGTTCAGAGTAAGAAGGGGCGATCGATTGAGCGAGAGGTTTATTATCCTACTACTTTGAATCCTCACCCGAGCCCATTATCCGAGGCGTTCTCAGATAAGGGTAACGGAGTCACAAAGAGCGCAGTATTTATAGACCGCAGTAGCAACGCAACCACATGCCTATAATCGACAGCTCCCGCATTCATCGCTGGGGTCATTAATGATGCGACAGTGGTCTGCTAGTTTGCACTCCGGTCGTTTATTTTCGAAACGTAATCAGCGTTGTAGATTCTTGGCGTGATAATTACTCAGCCTGATAATCTTGTACCATTCTCGCCCGTGAACCCACGACACCTCGTCTTCTCTTGCTCAGTCTTCTGAAGGTATTTCGTAGCCTTGAGTGACAGTCATGTAGAAGCACTTGAAACATTAGTTTGTCGTGTTGAACTACTGTGCGTCTTGACAGTTCTGTGTTTACCACCATTACCCGTGCCTCCATTACCCTTATCTGCGACTGCCCCTAAAGACAGGTTCGGTGAGAATCCGAAACGTCAGTCAAATAAACCTCTCGCTCCGGCGACCCCATCTTTTCCTTCTGAATGAGAACAGAACGGTAGGATGGCAGTTGGTGGCCCTATCCACTGATTCTACAATTGTACCTACTGGCTCGATTTCAGTAGTTGTGATTACGTTCTCATTATGTCTGGGAGTGCACGTGCAGAAGCCCTGTCAGGATGACTTTCTTCTTCACTTTAACCACCCCGAGAACGAGTCGCTGCAAAAATGTCTTTACAGACTCATTGTATTGCACCCCCCACACGGAAATCTTTAGTAAAAGGTGAACGATTTATCTTAGGCGGATTATGATTCATCATGCTTCTCATTATGCTTCTAATTGCATTCGCGCACAGTATTACCTGCATCAGATTAATTGCATACTCACTATCCTAGGCGGATTGGCGCGGGTCTGCGTTTCATCGGTCTGCCTACGTCCTTGGGTCTTTTTACTCCAGACCTCCAGTTTAGTCCGGTGTGGTCGTGTACGAAAGGACAACCGGCCCGCAGATAGGTTGTCTACTAATACTCCACCGACTGCATCAGTCGTATTGACTGAGTGTTGCCCTCCGCCCTTCGGCTTTACGAACAGACCGGTTGTATTTGGTCACAGGGATGACTTTCACCTTCAATTTAACCGCCCCGAGAACTACACTATTCACGTATAGCGCGCAACTACTGCCATAATTTTAATCCTAACTGTGGCCACAGTGGCAATAAACTATTATTTGCGGATTTTCTCTTCTGCCCAAACATATTCTTGGCATTAAAGTCTTACCTTGCTTGCAATATGCCGTCCTGCGTGCCGCTACTTGACTCTCGTGCTCTCATGTCCATTCTGTCGGCTAGAGAATATCTCACATACTGCGGAATGACCTTAAGACTCACCGCCTTCTTCCTATTGGTTGTTCGCCTTCACTTGCTATTCTTTCCAATCTGGGGCAAGGATGCATTTATTCCGCATACCGTACTAATTATCCATGCTCATTTCTATACCCTCCTTCCTTTTTTCATCTTATTTAAATGAGGCTTCTGCTTTACCAGGAGCGTCAATTCCAGGCATACACTACAAGCGCCATTTACGCCTCCACTCATTTGCCCCACCCGCATAGCCCCTATTACCACTGGTCCCGTAGGACAGGTAGCTGGGAGTTATCGGTACCGGGAGGGCAACCAACTACCATCTAACCGACAGAATTATAGGGTGTGGAAACACAAAACCGGATACTCGTATCTAGTTTAGCCCGTCAGTCGAGGCGCTTACCCAGGTGTCGCCGCTAGGCAGAGCCTAACTTCAGGGAGCTGTGGATGAGAGCGGCCCCAGTTAACAACCGTGATGAGCAGTCATCACTTTCACGGCGTGCCCTACCACTCTTGGACACGGCACCTAACTGGGCTCCCCAGCAACCACACAGTCAACCGCAAACATAGTTACGTGAGGGTGCTACATTAGCGTGCTCAGCTACCCTTCAAATAGCCAGGTTTCAGAACTGCAATACCTTCGACGAACGCTCAGAGCAAACGGCTACCCACGCAACTTTATCAATATGTGTATGAGCAAATTAGAGCCGATTTTAGCGTTAGAAGATACCATACTAGCAGCACAGGTACTAGCTGAAGGCCCAGGCGCCCGTGTTTCGCCGAGATTCTGTCGCTGCATGACACAGCTGCGAGGGGTTCGGCTCTTCACTGGGTCCCCTAGCATTCCTCGTGCGCTTTCTGGTAGATACTCCAGTTTAGAAATGGTCACTTTTAATTTCTCCAGAAAGTAACTGCCAACTTGGAGTAGATCAGTTTAAAATAGCTGCTAGGCCTTAGTATAAATTGATCTACGCCAAGTTAGCAGTTAATTTGTGAGGAAATTAAAAAGCGCAAACTGGAGCATATGCTGAACCTCATGGGTCCCGAATTTTTACGAGCTCTCCAATACGTCAAGAACGTCTCGGGAGTCGTCAACCGCCACCTTATACCATTTGGCGTTGGGATTGCATACAGCTCAGAAGCAACTATCAGGCGCCAGGCAGTGAAGCCGAGAAAACCCACTGTCACAACAGGAACCTTTTGGGGTTGTGTACCGAATTTGATGAAGCTGCGGACAATGCGATTAATTCGGAAATACCGGTATACTATTCTGGACAGGTATGGTCGAGTATGCAATAGCAGTGAGGGGGAATGATGTCAGATCTCAGGTTGCAACTCATTCGATGGGACCCGAGTGCACCTTCAGGTCTGACGACGGAATTCTTGCTAGTGGTGGCGACCGTATGAGCCGCGAGTTGCCTGAGTTTTGGTTCACTGATCTGCGGTCGATTATCAGGCGCAATGACCTCGAGAATTTGGCTGCGCAGAGTAACTGGCCACGTGGGGAGGGTAGGGACGAGCACCACTGCCGGTGACACTATCAACGAGGCAACGCCATGGTTCATCAGCGGTAATGAAAGTACGGTAATAATCAATCCGGATGCGGATGCACGCCAATTACGATAATAATGGCAGGCACCTGGTGTCATGACAACCTCGTCCTGCAAGTGTCACATTCCTGGTGTGCTCATCTCGTTATCTGCGACTGTCATCGCTAGTGGGTTCGAGGGATTTTCCGGAACGTCAGACAAGTAGGTTTCTTGTCCCAGCGCCAACATCCTCTGGACTTTTTCCTTGAAATCGCCTCCTCGGTTCTATCGCCTTCCTCCTTTATCGAATCTCAAAGAAGCCATGTCGGTAATTCGAGTTGCTATCTTGGGTAATAAATGACATGCACATTGAGAAGACATCAGAGGAGTTTTTGTACGGTAACAAGACCAGGCTAATGACCATGGAATCACCCACCTTTTAATGGGCGACAAGCCCTGCTGAGGCAGGAAGACATTCCTTAGTCGTTAGTGTTGATTTTCTACCATTATCATTCACAGCGCACTGTTACTGGATGAGGATGATTGCTTATCTTAAAAATGTATCTTTCACTCTCCTAAAGAAGGTGCTATTAAGCAGCCGATATTAATGCACCCAGAAGCCCCCGCCGAGTGGAATTTCGACCACCGATGTCCATCTACGGAAAGAAGCAACAAAACGTGTAGGTCACTTACGAGACCAATGAAGGCGAAAAACCATCTTAAATAACATTCTTTGCGCAACACGACGAACTAAAGATGGAATCGTGTTCACAACATACAAAAATCTCCGATCACCTCATTTTTATTTGGGACGCACAGCACGCTCAGTCCTCAGTGGATGCATTAGCTCGAAACCAAATAATCTGTCACTGCAAATTACAATTGATTATTTTTCAAG